GTGGCAAATAGTTTTGTAGATTTCTATCGACGCCCTGTGAGTTGTTTTGGTAGCAACAAATAAACAGCAGGCGGCATAAATGCAGCCCATATATCCATATATACATATACATATATATTCATCTGTATCTGTATCTGTATCTAGCTATGTATTTTGTTCATGCATTTGTATATTTCGGTATAATTAATTACATATTTTAATTGTGTGACATTTGGCTTACGAAATTTTAATTCTCTCGTTTTTTTTTTTTGTTTAAACATTTTTTATGCTTGTTTGCTTTTTTGTTTTTTATTGGACAACTACTGCGCCGCGGGTTTAATTATGCCTCGTATTGGATTTCTATACGCACACACACACAGCTCAATTTGATGTATACTTTTTACAATTGTAAGGCACTTCATTGTTTATTGAATATTTCATTCAACGCAGAGCATAAGTGTTTTGCTGAGTCAGTCGGCAAGAGCTCATTCAGATTCTTTAGAAGCTCAGAAGAAATTCTTCTGAAAATTTAAATATATTTTTTTTTAATATACGATAATAATAACAACAATCATAATTTCTGCCTTGTGGTTTTCCTGCCTCTATCCGTAAATATATTTCGATCTCAAGCTCCAGCTGAAAGTACATCAACATATGGCAACATATTTATATCTAGTCAAATTATGCACTCTTCATAAGCCTTTTTCTATCATCAATCATTATATATTACTCTATATTTCTTTATCTAACTCCACGACCAAATATTTTCCCAAAATATAATTAATCATAAGCTCGATTTCTCCCCCTTCCTCTTTTTCTATATTTTTCTATATCTCTATAGATGTTTGTTTACCGATATGAATATGCACATCTAACTATATGCAACTTTCATATCAATATGTCAGTCCACCTGATCTGCATTTCTGAACTCTGCATTTCTGTCTGTAATTATATTTCTACCTCAGTCGATGCATCTATTGTTTTCTTTCTCTGAACTTCTCACTTACTCCTTTTCTCTCTATTGTGCATTCCGCTTTATGCTGCATTCTTAAACGTTTTACTGACTGCTTGTTACAAGCTTAACGTACAATACATTTGACATACGTATATGCAAATCGACTCATTCCTTTTCATCCTAAGAAAATAATTATTATTTTAATAAAAAGGGAAAATGTCGAACTCATTTTCCTTTACTTTAATTTATTTTCACGCACATTTGAATATATTTGCTAGTTGTAATATTTGTGAGTTCTTTGATTGAATTATGTTCTACAACTGCCTCTTGTTACTACGACAACTAACCAGCCCTTGTCTTACTCAATCAAAACACGATTCGTTTTGTGAGGTTTATAATTTAAACATAATTCATTATCAAGCACACACACACATAGAGAGAGAGACGCACCAGACACCAAATTTTAATTATAACCATCAGTCATGTTGGCCAACTAGAAGGGGTTGCCTGCCATAGAGAAGACAAGACAAGACGTGGTGGAAGCAAACACTCCTGTACATAAATTTCACACTCAACTCATTTCCTGCTCATTATCATATCCCTATGCACATTATACAATCTGTAGAGTTAGATGAGCATGCGCTATACGCACAACCAGACACATACACACGGACGATGCAGACGGACGTAATCTTCACCTGGACTCAAAAACATGCAACATGCCACGGAGGCGCACAACAAGCCCAAACCCCAAACCCAAACCCAGACCCAGTCTCAGTTCCCATCTTCCAGTTTCCCATATGTGCTGCCTGCTTGGGCTGTCCAAGAAACCCACTCAATTTGGGTTTGGCTTTGGCTTTGCTTTTGGTTTCGGGCCTTGCGAGTGGGCGGCCAGCGGCGGCGCGTCTTCGAGTCGCCTCGCATCGCGTCCCTCTGCGAGAGATGCGAGAGATTTGTGGCAGAGGCGCAGGTTCAGCTTTGCGGGCGTCCCCAGGAGATCTCTGCGGGCAATCAGGCTGTCACAGCCGCTAATTTCAATTATCTTGAGTGTATGCGTACGAGTAATTTGTTGACTTTTGAAAGCCGCAGCCAAAATGTGCGCAAATTTAACCAAACGCAAACAACCCCCTGCCCCCTCAACATAGTAATTGGAGGCAAACTAAATAATACATAAATAAATGCGGAAACACTTCTCGCGGCTGGAAGAGAGGGGCGACTCTTCAGACGATTTTTTGTGCCGGCAAATATCTTTGCAGATTCTGGGAGTCCGATTAAAAAATTGACAAGGGGAAGGGTTTTTATTTCTTGTATAAACTCGGATACTCTTGCGGAAGGTAAAGGCACACTTTGGGGTATTACTTGTGTATAATGCCAAACAGCATGACATAGTTTATATACCCTACCAACAATATTTAAACAGACGACCACCCGCAGCTGCCATTAACGCATTTTTAGTGCTTTTGATTGGCAAATTGGCGAAGATCATAAATTAATTACGAAAGTAAAAGTCATGTTAAATGCTGATGCACTCAAACGTAGCACTCATAATGAAATACGAGTACTCGCACGAATACAACTAGAGTAAAGAGTGAACTTTGGCTGGCAATCAAAATGTCATTTCATTTCGTGGGTAAGGTAAGCTAAGCAAATCCGCAATTGAGACGCAACTTACATGTCATTAACATGGGCTTAGGCCCAGCAGACAGCAGACATGACAGACAGAGCGACAGAGTGACAGAGAGGGGGGAGAGAGAGGGAGTGAGAGAGATGGACATGGGGAGAACGACATTCAGTCAACCAACAATGACAAGTTACGACTAAGACAAACATTTAAATCGTTCAAAGCGACAATCCGGGCCCTAAGCCATGACAATATTTTGCCAAAAGGTAGCAAGGCATACGACGTTGCCAAATTGCAGACGTTGTTTAAAGTGTGACAACATCGCTACAAATGGCGAGTTTCGAATTGGGTGTTAATCGGGTCTTAAGACATGTCAATGTTTTGCTAAAGCTAGACAAGCCGTGCAACGTTGCCAAGCTTCAGGGTTTCATTGGACTGAAGCGCGGCAACAACGCCACAGCGTTATAGTAAAGACAGAGGCTCTGGCTCTGGGTCTTTATGCAAATTTTAATAAAGGGAATCAAAGCGTGTGACGTTGCCAAATTTCAGTGTTGAACAGGGTGATATTTGGCGATAACTTCATATTTTTTAAAAGAAAATAAAAAAGAAAAAAATAAAAAAATTAAATAAAAGTTATGAGCTATGAAAAAAGGTGCATTGTTGCCAAATTTCTGGCTTACCGTCGCAAAAAGTTACTTTTAAATAATGCAGTGAAGTGTGGCAACAACAAATGCAATTTTTGAATAAGTCTCACATTTAAAAAAAATCATGCGACGTTGTCATTTTTCACTGCTCAAGAAGTTCGGCAACAGTGTATAGAAATGCGTGCTGCCAGAGTCACCGTAAATTGGCCAATTATCGGCATTTGAAATATGGTTTACCTGAACGCGTGCATTTAGTGCTCTCTACCTGCTTTCTTGGCTCGGCTGGCTACGTGCATTGTACGCACTGTGACCTTTTCGGGAAGACAATGCACATTGTTGAGCAGCGGAATATGCCGACCTGGTACCAACACCTGCCCGGCGACCCCGGCAACACGGACTACCCGACTGCCTGGCCTGGACTTGAATGCACGCACAATTTTCTATAAAAAGATACACACCTTTATTTTACACTTGGTTAATGTATCTGTATCTGAGCTGCATTAAAGAACAAAGTTCACACTCCAGGAAAAAATCTACCTGCGAGCGTGAAAGAGAGAGAGAGAGAGAGAGGGAGAAAGAGGGGCTATTGATTATTTAACAAACGTTGGGAAATTAGGCAGCGATTTATAAAAAGCCTCGTTTTTTTTTTATTTTTTTGGGATATGCACTTTGATAAATTAATACAATATCTATGTCCATTCAATTGATTTTCTAAATTCATTAGCGGCTTCTAACGGCCGCCGAGGCGTCGTCTACGACGATATGGTTATGACCCCAAATGGTTCTATATCTATTTGATTCAAATTCTGTGGCCCTTTCTGCTTTCGGCTTGTTGTGAAATGCGTCCAAAGTTTGTCTGGAGTTTATTGCAGTTTGGAAAATGGATGAGCTAACAGCTGGAGAGCGAGTGCGGCACTCGTTCAGATTAGATAGCAAATGGTCAACGCTTGATGGCCAGCATTAAGAACTCGTGGGCCTCTATATTTGAATAGAGCACTCGAAATGCGCGAACAACATAACTGGGGAGAAACTAACAAAAGAATTGTTAGAGGCAAAACAACATTTTTATATGTCAAAAGTTTTAAGTAGGTACAATCAACACCTTAATGAGTTAAGATATCGAAACTAAAAAGCGATCAGAGTGAAGAAAATAAATATAAATTAAGTTAAATTAAATTGAAGCAGAATTTAACTCCCAAAATAGAAATCAAAGGATTTCTGCCGAATTTTGCTTTATATCCGCTTAATGTTCAAAAATAAATTAGCAAGTTAATTATTGAAAATTACTAGAGCATGTTTCATTATGTTTACTTTTATGATGGCCATAAAAAATAATGATATTACTGACAAAGGCAGGCATACATAAATAAATAAAATGCGTTTTATGTGGACCATAATAAACACATTAAAATCAACACGAAAATAGTTTTATTAAAATATTTTAAATAAATCACAATCACACGCACTCAATAACTCATGTTTCCGTTGGTTTGCCTTAGCAACATTATTTTGCAACAGGAAATGTAGCTCAACATTTACAGCTGCAAGCAGAAACAGCCGCAAATGAAACAGGCCAAAGGTAAACAAAGCGACTGTTAAGTCAAACATTTGGCATCCACTGCATGCAACAAGTTTAACAGCGCACACACGCATTGGTTAGAAGAGCGCGCACACAGCGTGTTAACAGTGCCATTTCGAGCAGCAGCCCACACTGTGTCGGGCGTGTGGAACGCGTGTGGACCGTGCGCTGCTAGCTTAACAGGGCAAGCGACTAACATGTTGCTGGGGCGCATTCAATTTGCTGCTGGTACTCGGTCGCTTCGGTTGTGCTAGCGGTTCGTGCGTTGCGTTTCGTTGCGTTTCGTTTCGGGGAATTCGCATGTTAAGCGGAAAAATATCGTTGTCGGTTGGTCGGGCGCCAGTTTCGTGCGTAACGACGGCCCAACGTCATTGGCTGCACGCGGCTTCCGGTTTCCGGTATTGTTAGCGCCATGGCATAGGATTCAAAACACGACAAGAGTGTGCCAAAAAAAATTCAAGTGAAATATAAGTGATTTTGCAAGAGTGAAAAGAAAAATCTGTTCAGGTGACGCGTTGCCAAAAATTGTTGGCTCCAATTAAAAACGAGCGAGCGCAAGAATAAAAAAAAACTTGACAAAATGCATTTATGTGAAATGCGTGCCACGCCGCATTTAGCTAACGAATTTAAAATCAAAATTAAAAATAAAATTCAAAATAACAACGACGTCGACGAGATCAAACGACGACACAAAAACCAAAACCAAACCCGAGACAGAAACAGAAACAATCAAAATGTCGCCGCAGCGTCGCCTTTGCTAAAATTAGAGAGAAGCGTCGACCCAAAGATGCGTCAGCCAGTTGGGAGGAAGACGCTGCAGTTGCCACTGCTGCAGCTGACAATGCAACTGCAACTGCAACTGCTGCTGCAAATGCTGCTGCTTCTGGCTGGATTAAATGGATTAACACAAGTTGCCGCGCTCAAGGGTAAGTGTCAGCTGCAGCCATTATGCATATTGCATATTGCCACATTCAACAGAATTTTGAAGGGCAACCCGGGGGCAGCCTCCTCCACTTCCTCCACCTCCTCGTTCACTTCCGGCTGGCTCTAATGGCCGTACAAATCCTTTGTGGAAATGCAGCTCACCTCAACTCTCCCTCTCGTCGTCTCTAAATATTTATTAGCGTCATTTGTTTCCATTCTCGTTGCCACATTTGGTGTCTCGTTTTTGGCTATTTTTGGCCAGTTGCAGCAACGGGAAATTAAGGCAGCGCGGTTTTATTTATGCGGCGCGTTCGCTAATGGATTTTAATGCCGCTTTATAGACACGACATCAGAGACATAATTCAAAAATATATCTACTTTATTTTGTTTGTAGTCAATTCTCGAATCATTTGGCTGTGCAGACTTGTAACTAGATAAGTTCACATAGATAATTCGCCTTAAATTCACGCCTCACTCAAATTACACAGTTTTTCATCCAGATAGTTTTCTATATAACAGCCGCCCGTTCTATGATATCATACTTTCCCAGAAGCTTGGCTAACATTTGCAGACACTTTTTTCTTGTTTATAAAGCTGTTCCACATTTTATTTATATTTTTTCTCGGTAGGCAATTAAATTGTCCCACAATCAGCGCACAAAATAATCATAAAACTGATTGCGTTGCCTTAGATACCATTTTCTTGGTCAATTACATCAAAAGCCAAACAAATATCGGCGCATACTTAATAAAAATAAAAAAAAAGGAAAAACAAAATGAACAAAATACCAAATGGAAACAGTTTTGAGGCCTTTGTGTGGTTTTTGCGGTTAGTTTTTGATATTTTGAGATTTCAAAATGCACAACCACAGGCGCATATATAGCCATATATGTATATACACACACATATACATAGACATAAAGACATAGTCTGGCCGTCGATTATTGGACTAGACTTTGCCGTCATTTGTTGCGGTTGCCTTGAAAGGAAAATGTGCAACTTCACATGTGCTTTGTATTTAGCTGAAAGCCATGGAAAACAGTCATGGAAATATATGAGAAAAAAACCCAATAGCTGTTTTAAAAAAGTCTGCGTAAGTTGATAGCTAAATTTTATGTGGAAAAATGTTGCTTAAGCAAGAAAAAATCAATGTGCAATAATTCGAAAATAAAGTTGTGGAATTAAGCAAGTTTTCTCAGATTCTTTTTTATTTAGACATTAATTATATGAAATCAAATAAGTAATAGCCTTCTTCTACCTACACCAAATCCAGCTCGCGCTCAGGAGCAGCTATAAAATTAAAAGATACTTGATCTGTATATACGAATCTAGAAACTACATGTCAAGTTTGTTGACTTGAGCTCTTAAAAGCTAAGAGATTTGCTCAAGAAACAGGATTTCGATATCGATTTTTATCGATTGCTTGGAAACGGGACAAGTTATCGAGTATCGGAAACTAACTCGTACTGCGCTGCCCTACTTTGAAAATCAGTTTAGAATAGTTTGAAAACTAAGAAATTCAAAATAATATCAAAATCTAAATATATTGTAAAAAGGTAGAAAGAATATACATACATAAATATATATTCTTACCATTTCTATTCTATATACTAAATATACAACAAAATAAAATGTTCCCAGAAAACTTTGTGAAAAACATTGCAAATTTTCCATTCCTTCAAAACTAGTTTTTTCCCGTAATTTAAAAAAAAAGTTATAGACCAGTTTGCAAACTAGGTTTTTCCCCAATTTAGGAATAGTTTAGTATACTACGTAAAGCTCTTTTTTGCGAAAGCATGAAAAATAATTGAGTTATGGATTGATTAAACATAATTTGTCAGCTTCAAGAAGAGTCCACCTCGAATTTGTTATACCTATTAGTCTGTCTGATCTCTGCTTACTTTGATCAGCTTTTCCTGCAACTTTTACCCATTTTCCTTTTCCTTTTATCAGCATATCAACCTCTGCTTTTGCCTCTAGCGAGCATTCTAAATTCATATCAGCTGCCCCCTTGGGACGACTCTTTCGCTTTTAAAGCTCGCAGCGTTAAATTGGCGCAAGTGTCGGACATTAAGTGAGATAATGCCAGACGCACATTTGGTCACCCTTAACCCGATCAGAATCGGGCATAAAACGCCTACAAAGCATTAGCACAAATACTGAAATGTGTAATCTAATGCTTATTAAACGCTTTTTAATGCAACAAGCGGCAACTGCACGCAACGATTGCCCGTCGCAGGGCGGGGGCAATACCGATGTCGAATCCCGACTGCCATATACATATATATATATATAACGATTGTGCGCCACGTGAAAACATTTAACACGCAACAACAACAACAACGGGAGCTGAGGAGGCAAACGCTGAGGCTGCCACACTGATGAGCTGTGTGGCCATGTGGCAAGTGTTGCACGCGACGAAGCCGTCGCACGTTGATAATAAATTGTATAAAATTATCTCGCACGGCACACGGCAGTCACAGCTATAAGTGGCGAGAGCGAGAGGGGGAGAAGGGGCTTGGACAGGGATGGTGCGTCCAATTGGGTGGTGGGTCAATCGCTGGCTGCTTGTGCCGCGGCGTGCAACACTTTCAGACCCAAAGAAAATCCGAACGGGTCATAAAAATTATCTGCTGCTAAACGCCCTCAACATGTTGCCAAGGGTTGACACAGAGAGAAAGCGAGAGAGAGGGGGAGAGGGAGACAAATGAGCAGCTAGAGCTGCGACAACTCTGGCCAAATGCTTGTAATGTTACTCTGGGGAGCGTTTTTCCGGCTAGCCTGCACTTTTCACAAGAATCTCAACGCTACAAAACGCAGCTAGTCAAAAGTAGAGAAGGAGTGAGAGAAAAGGAGAGGGAGAGAGACAGGAGAGAGGAAGACGGACAGCAACTGGCGTGCAGTTTGTCTCGAGGGAATTTCATGAGCAATTTTTTTTATTGCCTAGTTTAGATTTTGGCTCAAAAGAGAGTGAGAGAGGGGGCGAAAAAAAGTGTTACAATTGCTGCGGCTCAATTTTTCGAACGTTGCCCGTTGGCTCTTTTGTAATTTGCAAAGTGGCGACTGTTCATGTTTGGTTGTAGGACAGTGTAGAGAGGGACTGTGGCGGGTTTGGTAGGCAACTCATGTGCATTATGCGAAATTGGGCTAAGCAGCAGCTCGGCCTGGCTTGCCAGTTTTTTTGGGTCGCACTTTGAAGTGGCAAGGGGCGGTGCAACGAGCTGCAACGAGGGGGGTAGGGAGGTGCACCCTTTGGGACATGTAAATGAAGTCAAGTGCTGCCGCAACATGTTATTTTAACAATCACATGATTGGCTAACTGAATTGTTATGGGCCGCAGCTCAGTTGCCTGAGAAAAGCGGGAAGGCATTCAATTTGTTGTATACGAAATTCAAATTAAAAAAAGTTGGCCTCAAACCAAGTTCCTTAAGACCTATTTCACGTTGGTTGTCTATGAGAACAGTGTACTTATTGCAGCTTTAAGGCTGAAAGTTGTGAGTTTTACATTGCAGAAGTTGGCATATTGATCTTAAAACTTTTCCATTTGTTCTCTATTATTTGTTGTATCGGGTTATTCTAGCTATTTGAACTGGGTTCTTATGGGAGTTATCCTACTGAATGTTGGTTCCTAAATTTTAAACAGTGGCAGACTCTGTGATTTTGTTTTTCGATCTGGACTCTCCTTAAATATATCTCGCTTAAACTTGGTGCCTGGGTCATTCAATGCATATAAATCGTAAATCGGGCACATCTGTTCGCCAGTATTCGCAGTATCGGCTTTTTCCAGCTATTCGAACGAGGTTCTCATTAAAGATATTCTACGGAATTTTTGTTGTTAAATTTTCAACTGTTATTTGTAAATTGCAAACATACTTAACGATTTCCGCTATAACATATCTTTTCCTGACTATTCGAACTGGACTCTCCACAAATATATTCCCCTGAAACTTGTTCACCTGGGTTTTATCTGTTCTCTAGTATTCGTAGTATCGGCTTTTTCCAACTATTCGACCTGGGTTCACGTTGAAGATTGGTACTTGGTATCTATATTTTAAACTGTTGCAGTTTCTATTTGTAAATTTTGCAAAAGACCATTTGCTGTCTATTTGAACTGAGCTCTCCTTGAATATATCTCGCTGAAATTTGGTATCTGATCTCTCAATTCTATTTTTTGGCTTCTACATCTTCAAACAACAGGATTATATCTATAGTATGTCGCATAGCTGCAACCATATCTCATTCTTTCTATCCGAACTTGATAACTCTAAGAGCTATGTGGCTGAAACTTGGTATCTAGGCATTTAATAAATGCAGTTTCCAGATGAACTAGCAACTAATTTGTTTAGATTACTAACTGTGCCTACAAATAACTCTGCTGCAAAAAGTGAATAAGTTAAAAACGATAACTATTTATCGGGATTCTTTTCTATCCATACGCAGTCCATAGTCCATCTCCACCATTCTAACCTGCTTTAAAAATATATTTTTATTACCATATTAAATTAATTTTTATCACAAGTCAAATGTTATTTATTTCCCAAGCTAGTGTATTTGCGTCTTCGTTGTGCGTGAGTTAATTGATATTTTTTCTACTCTTTTTTTTATTTTTTAATTAAGCGCTTGCATTTTTTGTGTCTACTCAGCTGAGTTATTTGATCTGCCAGGGGTATTTTCCAGCTAAATAATAATTAATTATGAAAAACCAACTAGCGAACAGGCCGAGTCTCAATTTAAGCTCCCAACTGCTCCGCTCCCCCCTCCTCCTCTTACCCCTTACCGGCACGTCGCACGGTCCCTCAGCTTAGACAAGCGCCAAGTTTTGCCTACGCAAATACGCAAGAGTTTTGCTTCCTGGACATGGACGTGATTCTGGACATGGACTTGGCGAGTCTTGCAAGCAGCTTGCCACAGTTTGTGTGTGTGTGTGTGTGTGTGTGTGGCAAATGCAACGAGTCGCCTTTTGTAGTTGTTGCTTTACATAGCCGTGGGTTTTTTCATGTCT